CACATGCAGTCGGTCCATTGAACCAATACTGATCACATGCAGTCGGTCCATTGAACCAATACTGATCACATGCAGTCGGGCTGCACGTGATCAGTATTGGTTCAATGGACCGACTGCATGTGATCAGTATTGGTTCAATGGACCGACTGCATGTGATCAGTATTGTTTCAATGAACCGACTGCATGTGATCAGTATTGGTTCAATGGACCGACTGCATGTGATCAGTATTGTTTCAATGAACCAACTGCATGTGATCAGTATTGGTTCAATGGATCGGTCCATTGAACCAACACTGATCACGTGCAGTCGATCCATTGAACCAATACTGATCACATGCAGTCGGTCCATTGAACCAATACTGATCACATGTAGTCGGTCCATTGAACCAATACTGTTCATATGCAGTTGGTTCATTGAAACAATACTGATAACGTGCAGTCGGTCCATTGAACCAATACTGATCACATGCAGTTAAGCAGAATTAATTATTGTTGTTTTTTTTTTTAGTCTCAAAGCTACATAATGCCCTATCTGCACTCTGCTGGGAATCAAACCCCAGATCCTAGCAATGGAAGTCTGTAAACTTAACACTAGTTCACCAGGGACTTTCAATACAAGTAAGAATAATTTGACCCCAACAGTGCATATGGCACAATACACTGTAGGAAACAAAAGGTATTAGGGTAATGATCAGATATAATAATACAAACACTTATCATTATGATGAAATAGTTTTTATATTTAATGTGGTACAATGTTAGCTGTTTACAATTATAGCAATAGGTGGCATGAAATTTGGTTTGAGATCCTCCGAGGTGAAACCTCGAGGGGATTTTGGGGAGGGGGGGTGCTCAGAAGCGTTAGATTATCTTCTCCACTCTCGTGATGGTGATGTGGTCTGTACTTGAAGTTTTGTGGTTTAAGCTTACTTAAATAAAGAAGATTATGTTAACATGGCAGATTTGAAGATGCCTTAAGCAGTTAGGAGGAGTCCGAAGAGATATGAATAAGGGAGATCCAGACTTCACAAACCAAACTGTTATTCACAGATCACCTGCAGTGACTTATATACTGTATGTTTTCATTTCTGATTATCAAAAACTTTATAAACACACATAATGAGCTGAAACTTCCTAAAAGATAAAGACAAAATTCTGGTATAATTTCGTTAATGGGAATTAGTTTTTTGATACCTTTGGTTTAAAATATTGCATATAATTGTAGAAATGTTTGAAAAGTGTAATTTGTATAGTTATTCTAGTAAGCCATGTGATTTTCATATCAATTAAATATATTACCTTGAAGGCTTTTGAAAAATGAACAAACAAGGAGAAGAAAGTGTTAGGAGTAACAGTTCGTGCACCTTCACCAAAGTACTCTACACAGTCAGAGAATGCTTCCTGTTAAATAAACAATCAAGTCTATTTTGTTTTTGTGAGTCAGTAAACATCTTTCTATCCAACAAGTAATTGTACACAATGTAAGTTAGTGGTAAAATTACCAAGAGCTTTCTTTCTTGCCTTAAAAGTTACAAAACAAATTAAAAAACAATTTTCATTTACATGTTCTGGAAAAGGTCAACCAATAAAAATATATATATATATATGCAAGCAGTGGCATAGTGAGGGAGTCTGGCACCCTCACCCCCCAAAAAAATCCAAACTCCACCTGCCCTTTATCCTCTTATTTTTTAACCTTATATGGCAACCCTACCTACCATGGTACTGTATTTCACCATAGTGTCATGATTATATGGTATTTGAAAGACAATTGCTGGTCGAATAAGTAATAGTGGCACAGAGTCCAGAAAAGCATTTAATCCCATGGAAAGGGATTTTGTTGTGAATGGAGGTATTTTTCATGTGACTTCATTTAGTTTATTCTCTATTAACTATGAGATTTCGGTGTATTTTAATCAATCTAACACTAGAAACCATGTGATGTCCCTAGGCATAGAATTTATGATGATATACTAACATTTGATGTCAAGCATAAAGACATTTTAATGAGTCTTAGTCTTATGGGAACAGATAAATTTTGGGTAAACTGGTTGTTAATTTGGTATCCCTAATGCAGTGCTTGGGGGCAAACCCCCCACCTCCTGCACACCCCTTACTACACCACTGTAAGCAAGTTATAGTACTTCTTTTCCATTTATAAGAAATATTGATTCAATAAAAGGAAGATTCCGTAAAACTTTCTATCTCAAGATATAGAATAATTTGGTTCCAATTTCAAGATAAAGAAACAAACTTGACTTTCATTGAAAAAATGTAATGTGCTTCACTGGAATAGTTGACTAGAAGTCTAGAAAAATTTTCCTTTCCATAAATGCTAACAGAAACAAGCAACTTTATTTAAATTATGACTAAAATGTTAGCGTAAGTATGATTTTTCTATGAACAAAATGAGTTGATCCTTAAACATACTTCACGTAACTGTGACAAATGTGTGATTAAAAACACAATAATTGACATTTTTTTACATTCATTTCTTATATGTAAAAAATTCTATCTAAAGACTACCCAGCTTACTTGTGCTATTTTTGTATTGGCCTTTAGCATCTTTAGTTTTTCTTCATTGTTTGTCAAAAATTCTCTCAAGATAGCAGCATCCTTAGCATCCCCATGGAGAGACAGTTCATTTTTAGCTCCAGTCCTTTCTCTAACTGGCTAACATCCATCAGGATGTTTTCTAAAGAAGGTAAAGAAGAATATTTTTATTAACTTGCTAAAAATTATATTTTTTATAGACCAAAGGGAAAACTATTTTTGTATAATGAAACAATACAATGTATGTTGTTAAATATTTTTGGGTTAAAGAGACATCTTTACAACACAAAACCTTGTAACTTTTTTCCCAAAATGATTAGAATTACAGTTGAGGCAAACTGGATATTATTGAAATTGAAATGTATATTAAACTGATTAATTTAGAAAAAAAAACCTTTACTATCCAAATTATAAGAAAAAAACTATTTATTTCAGCCAACATTTTGCCATTGCAGCTTCATCAGGGCTACTGGTACAAGAACTTGTTACAATGAAAAAACCGTGAGACTAATGAAAGAATACATTCTACATCTAGTGCCTTTTTTTTTTTCAAATGGGAATAACTAACAGCTAAATAAAAGTGTAACTTGTAAACTCTAAGTTAGATGAGGCTGAGGTAGGAAGGCTAAACTCTTCAAAAGTAGTGTTCAGTAACTCAACAGATGGTTTACATATAAGACAGAACAATCCAGTAAAAATTTTTTCCAATGACCTAGCTGTAAGTACAGGTGTGAATGTTACCTACAGAAGAGTAATACACATATTACCACAAAGTGGCCTTTGTGAATGTGCAGCTGCTCAAAAATTACTGCTTAAATGGCAGAAACAAATCAAGACTTCAAAATACTTAGATGAAAAAAGCTGGAGAAGGGTTCTCTTTACAAATGAATCCAAATTCACATTGTTTGGCAATACTCAAAGACAGTTTCCTCAAAAGTAGAGAGGATAACAGTATAAGAGTCAACATATAGTACCTACAACAAAGTATGCTGAGAGCCAAGTCAAGGGTAAGTTGTATCTCAGCCAATGGTGTTGGAAGTCTACACAAAGTTGATGGCAACCTGACAGCTGACACGTACAAACAGACTGTTTTCCTGTAAGACTGTGACCCTAATCATGCAGTAAGCATGGTGAAACAATACCAGGTTGGAAAGGGGGAGATTGAAGGAACACTTGCAACAATGGCTTGGCCTGCACAAAGTCCCGATTTGAATATTATTAAAGCTCTATGTATGAACTTATATGGGAACTAAGAAGGTCAAATGACAGCCATACAACTTAACTTAATTCTAGGGAGTAATATAGGACACTCGGAACAATATTTCCCAATTGTGCACAGAGAAAGTTGCAGTAGCATAAAACCAAAGCATACTGCTCTGTTTAAAGTAAATACTACTTCCATTGTTCAACTTATTCACTTTTATTTTGTATTTTCTGTAAAATCTTATTATGCTAACTTTAAATATACTAATTACTTGGAACAACTCATTGTTTGTGGCAGCTGTATAAATATCAACTATGTGTTTCCATAATCATTTCCAGTGGTGTGTGTATATATATATATATATTCATATAAAAACCATATATTTTATAAAACACAATGACTAAATAAACTAATTTTGCAATATTATAATTTCATTAAAAAATTATAGTTATAATTTCCTAATAAATCATATTAATTTAGTGTTATTGAAAATCAGAAGAATTGGTATTTTTTTAAATCCAAATTTAAATCATGGTGAGAAACTACTGCATACCATAATGGATCTTACTCCATAAGAATAATATGCAATAAAACAATCATAACATTTTATTCTATTATACAAACCAGTCATCTGGGTAAGAAGTATTAAAAAATTACCTATTTTCTTATAATATTTGTAAGTTGAAGTTTGTCACTCTAGACAAACGTACCTTCTGCAGCTTTCTCTACAAATCGTAGTTCTGATTCTAGGTTGATAACATCAGGAAACTTAGACCGGACAGTATCCGCAATGTAGTGTAATAATGAAATCTTACGATTTGCAGACTTCGTGTCTCCCAGCTGTTAATGAATGAAATAGTCACAAATTCATAGCTTAAAAACAAAAAAAGAAGGTAAAAATAAGAAGTCAACTTAACTAATGTATCCTGTAACATGATAATATATCTGTGTTTTGTAGATTTAATGTACATTTATTTATTATTAATAATATGTTTGATGAAGTCATATTACACTAGTCAGTTTCTTCTGTACTCATTGTAATGTTACTATAAGTTAATACATACAACTATTCATATTTAAATCTTGCATACGCTCATGCTTACCGAGTCCAAGCTCTGTAGTTTAAAGCCATATGCTGGTCCTCTTTTAGCTCCATTCATGTAGTTACCAAAAGCTAAGATGATCTGTAAAGAAAAATCACACAAGTATGTAACTTATATCACAGATGCTATGTTTTCCCACCATGATGTTCGAAGGATAAACCCAGCACACAGTTACCCAATCCTCGCACAATAACCGGCGATTTGTGGACCTAGCAAGCAGAAGGACAGGTCTGGTGATTTTTTATATGAAGAATGAAAGAGACAAGACTCCATTTAAAGTTCACACAAAAAAAATAAACACTTTATCTGTAGGAGAAAGCAGAAGATTTGTTTTGGTTATTAAATTTTTAGCAAAGCTACACAAGGGCTATCTGCGCTAGCCATCCCTAATTTAGCAGTGAAAGACTAGAGGGGAAAGGAAGCTAATCATCACCACCCACCACCAACTCTTGGGCTATTCTTTTATCAACAAATAGTGGGATTGACCGTCACATTATAATGCCCCCATGGCTGAAAGGGCGAGCATGTTTAGTGTGACTGGGATTCGAACCCGCGACACTCAGATTGTGAGTCAAGCACCCTAACCACCTGTCCATGCGGGCCGAAAACAGAAGAATGGGTAATCTTATTGCTATGGGGGGTCTATGGCATTCATGACTATAATGTTGAAAGTGAAATAAATAGATAGGCTGTGTTTAAGTAAAAGAAACTGAAAATAAGCTGTACTTATAGACAAAGCATATATGAGACTTCCATAGTGTGTCTTGGCTCTCTTTTTTTCTCTCAAGCCAGAAATTAATCTGTCTGAAAACTGTCAAAATTGTATTCACAGTTCATCCTCCCTCTCTCTCTGTAGATGACCAATCAGAAAATTGGAGTAAAGAATCAGGAAGTCTCTCTGATCCATTTTAATAGTCATGGAACAGTCCCAAATAGACAAGGTAAATTAAGACATAATACAACTATCCCACAAAAAAGAAGTTTCCGTGATAAGACCCTGCTATCGAAAGTACCACCTGAGGCTGAATTTAGTACATAACCTCAAACAGTATGCTCTGAGTTATAACATAAAATCTAGAAAATATTGTTGAAGTGAAATAAGTATTATGAGATAGTGAGATACGTGGTGTTTTTCATACCCCATCATTACATATAAAACTTAAACTATTGACTTTCTGTTTTAATAAACAAATAATTTTGACGCTCACCTCTAGCAGTTTTCTTATTTTTTTCGAATTTTTGGTTGACCTCGAAGCTGTGATAATGGAGTGAACTTGCTGTAAAGAAAGATGTATGAAATCATGACATGTTTACCAGTATTTTACTTACTAGCAAAGGAAAAGGAATTATTTGAAGAATATCACATACGACTGTTAGGAAAAATTTTTATCGTTCTGATTATAAATTGTTTTTCAAGCATTTTATTAAATTTTACATTTCTTTAGTATTCAATTATTATAAACAATTTTCTGCTTACAACTTAAAGCAGTAAGAAAACAAAAATCAAATATGTTACAAATCACAAATACAAAATATATATTAAAGTCTTTTTAACAGATAAGTTTATTAAATTTTACATTTCTTTAGTATTCAATCATTATAAACAATTTTCTGCTTACAACTTAAAGCAGTAAGAAAACAAAAATCAAATATGTTACAAATCACAAATACAAAATATATATTAAAGTCCTTTTTAACAGATAAGTTTATTATTCAACATTCTGCTCTAGTGAAGTTTACAAAACAGATTTTTTTTTGGCAGACTTTTTTAAATTCGTATGCGGGTCCATTGATGAACTGAAATGAAATGCCATAACTGCTAATAAATAGTATAGTCTGTGCTAATACATTAAACATTATTAAATTTCTGTGATCTTAGAAAAGATCCTACTTTCTACTCAGTTTAACGTTTATTACTAATAAAGTTTCCAGACACTACTCTGTTTTTGTTGTTTTTTTTTCATGCAAAAGCTACATAAAAGGAACTCTGTCCACCCTGGGGAATTGAACCTTGAATTTTAGCATAGCTTACCATCTGGCTAAATAAGTATAAATACTATCTTGTCAGGCCACTATTATATGTACTTATTATATCAGATGATTTTGTTTTAGTCAATAAATCATTTACTGAAAAAAAATACAATGACTTCTATATATAGTAAATAAATAAACTAACCCTTTTGAAATGAAGGTTTTTGAGGCATCTTTAACAGATAGACTAAAATCAGTAAAAAAGAAAAATCAATTGAGTATTCCAAGAATTCAGTTTTCACGAAAGATAACCTGCTTTCACTCACCGGTGTGAGAAGTTGAATATTTTCATCAAAGCTTCCAATGTAGCTCATGATGTTAAGTTTCTGGGTTAATCTTTCAACTCTGGTAAGCTGGAAAATAACCAAGATGTATCATTATGTTTAATACCTTGCTTTTATGACATACCCATACATTTCCTGTGTGTCTTTAACTTATGGAACTATACTCAGTGGGAGAGGTTGTGGATTTTAAGAGTGTATGCTTCTAAAATAAAATCCTTAGAAATAAATTTCAGTTTTTTAAAAGTGTAAATACATACCTCTTAACAGAAGCAACATATTTTTTTTCCTTGTAAAATTTACAGCATAATGCCATGAAAACCCAAGAAAATGTAACTGAAGTTTGTGGTTCATCAATAAATTTATATCTAAAAGAATGAGTTATAATAAAGCTAGAAAAAGAAATATCAATTACCGACAAAAGAAACTTATCTTCATCTGTTAGACCATCCACTGGCCTTTTCTGTTTCTCATATTCTCTGTAGGCTTTTACCTAAAGATGTATACAGTGACATCTGGTTGAAATAAAACTTTTTAACAAAGAAAATTATTTTTCAGCAAACCAAGGAAAAAAAAAAGAACACTTTCTAGCCAACAAACACTCAGCAATGTCATTTTGTCTTTTACAAAATAAAATTTTGTCATCGAAATACTTGTTTTACTTGCAAAAGAGCATAACAAAGTATGGTTACATTAGTTATTTCTTTGTGACAATGTTAAACAATACTGTTATTTTTTTAAAGCACTGTGAAATTTTGTTACACAATTTGTTTTAATTATACAATATGTTGTGACACAGATTTTAAATAATCTTTATTATATAAAAAGTCTGTAAACTTTGGTAAGAGGAGTTATATTTCAGAAACTGTTTCAAAATTTTAAAAGTTGGTTAAATTCGTACTCATTAACTTTGGATCAGACAGGTTTGCATCCCTTAGTCCCTTTTAAGTTTCTTAGTTATTGTGAAAGTTGTCTATTTCTTTCGCTTCTGGGCTGGGTACAGTCTAACAGTTAGGATGGTCTGTGGATCTGAGTTTCCATGGTATGTGCCCCTTTACAAGTATTAAAAAAAAATTGTGCCTCACACTTTGGGGCACCTTCGGTGCATTATAAGAGCAATGGTCAAATCCCACTATTTGATTTGAGTAGTCCAAGAATTGTCAGTGGGTGACATTTACTAGCTGCCTTCCCTCTAGTCTCTATCTCTTCAATATTAGAGATGGGCGGTGGAGACAGTTCTTGAGTGAGTTTTGCACAAAATTTAACAAACAAACAAATCTTCTGTTTGAGGAGAAATGAAACTTTGGTAAATTATCACGTTAAGTTTGGAAACTGTGGTGCCAATTATAAAATACTGAAGTGTTTTAATACCTGTACAAAGTGATAAATTTTTTATTTCTTCAGAATAAAACCTATGAACCTTTGGATAATCTTAGAGAACTAAATGATGAAGTAATAATTTTAAACATTTGTATTTTCTTTATTGATATTAAGGGTAAGGTGATTACATACCTCACGTATATAAAGAAAGCCATATGCTCTCTAAATACATTTCAATTTGCTCATATAACTTCAAAAATTAAAAATCTTCGTGATTCAGAGTCAAATTGAGATTTCTGTCCGATTTCCTATTTTATGACTTCAAAAATTGACTAATATTTAATCTTGAAACCCCCCACAAAAAACATTACATAAAAGCATGAATAAACACATATTTTTGTCCAAGACAGCTGAAATATCATAAAATTGTAAAAGTATAGTTTAACTGCAGATTTGTATTGAAATATTAAATGTAACAAAAGACTTGCTTCAGAAGACTTAATACTAAGATGAAAAAATTATGACATATTGATTTGTTTGTTTGTTGTTAAGTGCAAAGCTACATGGTGGGTTATCTATGCTATGCCCACTATCCAGTTTTTATCATTATAAACCATCATACTTATCACCGAATCATGGGGACACACTATACTGAACGATTAAGGTAGTATTCAGTAATTATATATGTGCAAAACTATAATATATATTTCATATAATAAACACATTTTTTTCCTATTATCTGTAAAAAACAAGAACAGCGACATAGTTGTTAAACATTATTTGACAAATTCCCATAATCTCATGACCTACTGGATACATAGTTGAAAAGTCTGACATCACTTTCTGTCAACCACTGAAACAACTAACAAATACCCCCATCACCACCCTACTGATGTCTTCAGGTAGCCGGTTATCAGTATATTCATAAACAGGCTTAAAGGATGTAAGGTAAGAGTGACATCTTGAATATTAACAATTTTTGGGATTTCAACTGTGAAAAAATAAAATAACTTATGATTTTTTTACAAGTTCTGAATGATTCGTCTGTTTAATTTTGTGTCAAACTGTTCGAGAGCTATCTGTGTGCTAGCCATCCCTAATTTAGGAATTATACATGAGAGAAGGTAGCTAGTTAATGCCATCCATCACTAACTTTTGGGCTATTCTTTATCAATGAAAAGTGAAATTGGTCATCACATTACACCTCTATGGTTGAAAGGTTAAGCATGTTTGGTGATGGGATTCAAACCTGCAACCCACAGATTATGATTCAAGCAGCTTAATCTCTGAATGGATCTTTAAAAAATAGAATGAAAATATCTATGCTTCTAAGACAAAATACTACTGTTACTTATGGTCTGTCATCCAAGGATTTGGTTAAAAAGAGGTTCAGTGATATAAGATTCTGTTGATAAAACTCCTTACTTCCTTGTCATTTGGAACCATCCGTAGCAGTATCTCAACATACTCCTGGTTCAGTGCTTTTAAATCAAGAGCACTGATTGCTTGAACCACCTCCTCACTCGATAACTTTAACTTACGACGGGAGATGGCCATATTTCGCAAACGTTTGTGCTCTAGCATTGTTATTTTCTCCGAAACCTGCACAGATAAACGTTTTTTTCAAATAAGAAATAAAGCTAAAAACAAAAACAATTTCTTGATAATATGATAAATTCCTTACAAAAATTATTTTATCCCCACTTAAAGTTTACTGATGTTTTTACTTTATGAGAACACTTGTTACAATAGTGAATAAGTTTATATGTTCTACGTATACCAGATTATAGTTGTACTAATTTTATTCACACTAAAAGAAAATTGTAGATGTTTCAAGTTAAAATATAAAGACATAGGTTTTGTCTCTAACTCATCACATATAAATTACTAGGCTAAATGGATCATATATTGGGTAGATTAAAGGAAAGAATTCTTCAATTTGATTAACCAGCCTACTTGAGCCACATCTTGGAGCAGCTGAAGAGTATGACAGGTAGACTCCTGGTCAGAATGAGCTAATAGTAGCCAGTTGTCCATATAATAATGAAAACACATCCCGAAAGTGTGAATATGACAAGCAAAAGCTCGAACTACCTGACAAAAACCATATGGGGCTGAAGCAAACCTGAAGGGTAGTGCACGAAACTGTTAAATCACCCCATGATGGACAAACCAAAGATACAGTCGCAACTGCCGATCGATTGGTATAGGTAAGTAAGCATTTGCAAAATCCCTCTTGGTCATCCATAAACCTGGAGAAAAAGCTCACCTGAGGGTTAGAAATGGTTCCAAGGTAAAACGAGGAAGATGGAGAAATTGATTGAGGTGGGACAAGTCCATGACAGGCTGCCAGTCTCCGGTTTTCTTGGGGACAACAAACAGCCTGGAATAAAAACCTGGAGAAAGATGATTCACAGGTTTGATGGCCTGGTGAGACAGAAGGTCTTGAATTGCCTCCAACAGATGCTGGCTGGTAATGGGATTCTGAGACAGAGGGAAGAAAATGGGTATCTGTGACAAAGGAAGAGGTGAAAGGAATTGTAGGACAAGTCCATCTGAGAGAACCCAAATAACCCACTGATCTATGATGAAATATCGCCAAAGGGGATCAAATCACACAACTGAGCTCCCACCAGACCTGAACCCACCTGGTAGGCACTGGTACTGTTGGTGTCATGCTGATCTATGTAAAAGAATACAACGAGATACAGAACCCCTGGAAAAAGGAACAGGTAAAGACTGAATAGGACGAGGATGGGAAACAGGAATAGGGGCTTGTCACGATTCTGACTTCTCCAAATGAGCTACCAAAAAGGAAAGAGTAGAGTATTAACACAGGGATTCCACATACGATTCCAAAGTGTCTGGGATATGGTCAAAAACATATCACCTAAGAAAAGGAGCTACACATAATTCCCTAAGACAAGTGGGTGGCAAACTAACCTGTGATAAGGCTGCATCTTGACCCAGTAGATCCCAACAATAGAGAAACCATGTGTGTAAGGCGAGAGCCAAAAATACAAACGAGCCAATGTGAAAGTAAGAAGGGAGAGGCTGTCCCTTGAAAAACCCTCAGGATTTCAGTGTAGAGCACCTGAAAGAAGATGTATGGTAGATAAATACCATAGAAGGGAAGTAAGGGTAAGACAAGGAATAAACGCACTAGAAAATCAGGGAGTGCTCCCCAAACTGGCAAAACAGACCCCAATAAATGAGAGTCTACAAATGGACAATCTGCTTGATAGTATGCCAAAGTAAACTGATCCGTAGCTCATGGGAGGAAAGGCATGCTGGCACCCTCATCCAATTGGAAAGCAAAATGTTTAGCATGAAACCCAATATTCAGGGAAGGTGGGAAAACTAAATAATGAGAAGAAGAACTATCGTGCAATAAAGGAGGACGAGGATTGTGGGAAATTGGGGAAAGGGATGGAACATCACATACCTGAGAAATCATATATAAAAACGCCATATTTAGCCTAGCTGATTCCACAGGTGGAGCATAGGAAGACACGGCAAAATCCAGTGGTGGAAAAAGGATATCAAAATATTCATCAGAACGAACAGGTTCAGATTGTTCATGAGGAAGTGGGGCAGCTGTAGGAGAAAGTGGTCGACCTATAGAATGATCAATCTCTTGGCAAATAATAGCAGATAAATCCATCAACAGGTCCCCCCATCCGCAGCCAGAGAAAAAGTGCTTGTAGTAGGTGTAACCTCGGAATTCATGGTAACTAATAATAAATCCAACAAATCGTTTGATAGATAAAGACAAACGTGTGAAAAAAAATAAAGAGTAAATTGAAAGTAATGGCGGCAGCTGTGTAATAAAAAACGACTAAGAAACCACTTTGGAAATATAAGTTAAAGTTATAACGACGAAGCACAAAATGTCTAAACATGAGCACTGCCAAACAAGAAGTGATAATCTGGAAGAATTGAATAGAGGTAGTCACATGCGTAACGAGAGTGTATGGCACTCTCATTGGTGGAGGGTTTTCACATGATGATTTACATGAGACACATTGGAATGAGTCATTTCCAATGGAGGAGAGGCAAAAGGCTTGTGGCATGCATAAAAATTTTTTGGCATATAGAGGGCAACACTGAACGGGAATAGCTGATTATGTGAGAGGAGGTGATGTACCATATCGGAATTAACCATATTCATCACTGGTTTAGTTTTTTAATTCTTCAAATAGCTTGCTTTGGTTAGAGGTTAATAATAATCAAATTACTAAATTGTGAATATTTATGTTTTGATCATTAACGGTTCTCTGACTATTATAAATGTATCAAGTTTAGAATATTTAATTTAAATTGTTATGGTAGAAGAACTCTGTAGTCTTGTGCTCATATAATGCCAACCTACCTTGAAACGCTTACTGCAGTTAATGTCATCTGTTCGGTCGGCAAAACTACCCTGCTGATTCAGTTTGAAATGTTCCTCAAAATCAGAGAAATCAATAAGCTGTGAATAAACCAAATTATATAAATACTTTCCTTGAGTTTGAAAAAACTCGAGACATGCTTGTAGAAACACATATTAACTATAAATCATACATTTTCATTAGGTCTGTAACAAAAGGTGCCAGTTCAGCTTAATTTACATGTACTAATAAAACTGAGGAAATACTAAATTATACAAAAAACTGTCCTTTTAATGTCATTTAGTTTTTAGAGACTTCTTAACCCTTTGGATGTTATAATTGGATTTATCAGAATTGACATTTATAGCTGTTTGGTGCGACAAGCAGATTTACCCCACAGTGTCACAAAAACTTTTCCCTATTATGCGACAATTGGGACACTCACACATCCTTGAATTTCCTACCTAAGTACATCTGTACATCATTGATCAAAAGCACAATTTGTGGATATTGAAAAAGTATTAAAAAAGGTCAAACTGTAAATTTCATTTTTAGTGAATAATTGACACTTTTTGAGAACCCACCGGAAATTTAACTATGCACTCACAATACGTCACAACTCAGAGCAGATGTACAACTACAAAATATTAAATATACTATGAAATCATAACAACCTCACAATTCCAGTAATGCAAAAAAATACCTTAACTCCAACCTAAGATAAACAAATTTATGTCTTTTTTGCAATTAAAAGATTTTGACAGAAATTTTGCAGATAATGACTATTTTATTAAAAAATACTGCATTAAGTCCCTTGAACGAACCTGCAATCATTTTATAATTTGTCCAAAGCCAGTGTTTAAACTATTTTGTAAAAATCATTATAAAAATTACGTATAAAAACATTAAATTTTTTGTTCATAAATACACTGGAGAAGGAGTAGGAACAATACCATACAAAATACACAACCATATGTTATTACAAGTTGAAAAACAAAGGAAACTTTTTAGGCAAAAATAAACCCTTGCCATTATAGTAAGACTCACCTTGTACAATTTATCTTCATCCAGTTCACTAAACACAGTTCCCTTTACTTGGTTAGGCTTAAGTGCTATCCAATTTAGGGTAGGTAGTTTGTACTTTGTCTGGTATATTTTCTTGATTGTCATGGCTGCAAGTAAAAAGAAAGAAACAGAAACAAAAATGTGTTGTTTTTTTTAAACAATTAAATACAGAAATTTTTCCCCCACTACCTTATTTTTTCCTATCTTTGTATCTGGGTTCTTAATTGCTGGACAATATTTGGAATTCATTTAGCTTTTCAAAAAATATGCATAATCACATAGTCCTAGTTCAGTATTGATCTACGGTATAATTTTCTTATTGTGTCATAAACTTCTATACAATTTTATGAAATATTTATGCATAGATTTTCACACAAGTATTATATAATTCACCTCACACTAATAACTTCGCCCCCCAGTGTCACAGCGGTATGTCTGCGGACTTCCAACGCTAGAATCCAGGTTTCGATATCCCTTGGTGGGCAAAGCATAGATAGCCCACTGTGTAGCTTTGTACTTAATTACAAACAAACTAATAACTTCGTTCATATTGGTTAATAAATACTCTTTCTATAAATACAGTTTTAGCTTTAATCTTTTTCTAATAAAATTTGAATAAAAAATTTCAAGTTTTCCCACATTTTAACAAACACCTTCCTCCCCAAAAAAGGGAACCAAGTACAGTATTTACTCCGAATTTTCTTTATAACCACTAGTTTTTTTTCAGTGAGCATCTTTGTAATTTAATAATATCTAGATTTTTATATAATTTCATGTTTACAAGTTATTTTCATTCAACTTGTAAAAATTCAAAAGTTTTACCTTAATACCACAAATGAAAGTTTTTTTGTTGCATAACATTTTACAATTCACATTTTTTTTTTACATTAAAATATATAGGTTAAATCCTTATACTTAATTATCATTCTCAAAATTTATTTTACCATCTGTAGGAGATTCCATCTGTCCCGGAGGTGGTGGTATTCCAGTTGACCGACCACTGTTACTTATAGGTAGTGGTGGAGGAGGTGGAGGTGGTGGTGGTGGTGGTATAGGAGTAGCTATTGTTTCTCCATCCATTAAACCTAATGTTCCTAATATAATGAAATCAAAAAAATATTTAAGTTGCATTAATGTCGTAGGAGTTGCACCTAATTTTTATTATCCTTACATAATTCAAGGAATACTTCTCTAATGCATAACTTATCAATACATTTTTTTTAGGAGCACTATAATGTAAACAAAATTACACTACTCACTCTTGTTATATTTAAATGTATTTGTATTCTACATCTGTTTACATTTTCTTACAAAGTTCTTGCGATGAAAAAATCTGACCTTTAGGTAAAGACTTTTGATAATTTTCAAGTTCCTCTATCTTTGATTCCAACATGCTTTGTCTCTGACGAGATTCTAGATCCTTCTGCGAAACTGTTTGTCGCAAGGTATTAAGTTTCTCATCTGCTTGTTGGTGTAATTCCTGAAAATTATCGAAGAATTTTCATACATTTTTTGACAAATATCTTACATCCTTCTTATAATGAGTTGTATTAATTTCAAAGCTTAAAACTTTTATAAGTTGGAGATTACAGTACAAATATACAATGACTTATAAATATTTATGATATTTCTAATTACCTTTTCCCACATGCTCTAACTACCAGGCCATGACAGTCAACTAAAGTTTAGATTTATCAGTATAATGTAGTACACTAAAAAAGTCTCACATCTTGATAGACATTGTACCACATTCCTTAAAATAATTGTTATGTTTTTTGTTACTTTTTATTGAACTTGAATACTAGTCAATGTAATAACTATGGTATACAAAGGAAAACCTACAAAATAAAAATGTTTTCTGAACTGCTTATTACAAGTGAGAGCATAAAATAAAAGTGCTGTAACAGTCCTCATTACTCACTTCAAATAGGTCAATAATTTACTCTACGTTACTATAAGAATATGAAAACTAGTATATTTACAGCAGTAATATTGAGGTGATCTAATATGTAACTTAATGGCAAGCTTCACTCAAATGGATTTGGTTTTGTTTTGAATTTTGCACAAAGCTACATGAGAACTATTTCCACTAGACATCCCTAATTTTGCAGTGACAGACTAGAGGGAAGGCAGATAGTCAAACCCACCCACTGTCAACTTATGGCCTACTCTTTTACCAACAAATAGTGGGATTGACCATCACATTACAATGCCCCCACAGCTGAAAGGGTGAGCATGTTGGACATGACAGGGATTCAAATCTGTGACCCTCAAATTGCAAGTCAAGCACCTTTACCTCCAGGCCATACCAGACCCACTCAAAAGGGTTATCAGCTGTATAATCAAAGAAAGTTTTCATACTGAAACAACATTTAAAATACAAAAGATGATGTGGAAATTTACAACTTATATACATCCCTTAGCTTTTTTTATCAGTACTAATTTTTTTAAAAAAATTGAAACTATTAATTTCTTGGTTACAGCTTATACCAAAACTCTAGGTTTTCAGGGCAGTGTGGCTCAGTGGCTTTGTGGTTTGGACTCATAGTCAGATGGTTGTGAGGTCGAGGCTGGCCCACATCATGCTGTGGTGTTATTGGGCAAAACAATGTACCCCATTTGTTCCAGTCTACTCAGCTGTATAATAGGTTCCTAGCAGTTAACTGGGGGTTAACCTGCAAAGGACTGGCATGCCATCCAAGAGGAAAGTGTCACCATTCTCATCTGCTTGTGCCATTGGAATTGGAGTTCAAAGGCAATGGGCACAGCAGGGATTTAACTAACTAGGTTTTTAGTTTCTACACCAATATATTTACAGCGAGTTAAAAAAATTAGAACTTATTTAAGAGTACAAAATATTAATTATTACCTGTAGGTTAGTTTTCTCTTTTGTAATATACTCTAATTGAGTTTCAAGTTCCACTAAAATGAAAAAACAAAATATTTTTTTGATATACAGAAAAAAATTATAATCTCTGCTTTTCATTTAAATCATTACAATTTCAGCCAAACAAGTACCAGTAAAGTTTTAATCAAATTTCCAACATTTCTATGATAACTCACATGTATAAGCATTAAAAAACAAAACATAAAAACTTTAAACCGAACAGCTCATTTCCATTTTAAAAAAATGATATTACAAATTGGTTAATAATATAACCATAATTCTGGTTATACATACATGGTTATATACCGTTATTATTAACTGGAGTAAATTACGCTTATTATTTATATCATACTATAATCATAGATAATTTCAGGTTAATAAAAGATCTCAAACTGAATTTTGTACATATATTACAATAATGAAATATACATGAATTAAAATAACTATAAACATTACACTTAAACCTGTTAAGGCATACTGTTAAAACATAAATGTTTTAAAATCTTTAGCTATGTTTGTTCAATATGGTTAAAATGTTCAAGGAAAAAAATATGTTCATTAAAAATCATCACTACAACTAATATCCAATGGATAAGATACTAATCGGCAACTTTACGTTTAACAATGTTGAGGAGTTTAGTTAACTCTGTTCATAACGCAGGAAATAAAATCGATAAAAGTATGTCACGTGATTTTAAAATATTCCAAAATTTCACCTGGAAATTCAATAAAACTACTCCTTGGTATAGAGTTAGATTGAAATTATTACATTATTTGAGCTAGATGAACGCACCATACACGTAACATGGGTGGCTGTGTAAGATAATATGAAATGTATGTTTCTGTATGCGAAGATCCAAGATCTCCAACTGGTCCGAACATTCTACAGTGGTTTTATAAATTACCACATGGATAATTTTTGGAAATTTATCTTTGTTCCAAACTTTTACATGACAGTAAAATACACAGTTACCTAGTTTTGAATTCAATTCATTCTCCATTTTACAGTATTCTTCATGTGCCTAGGGATATAAAGAAAACTAGCTTAAGTAGAATGTTAAAAATCAGTCCAAAAAACAATTTTTACAATAACATAATACAACTTAGAACAAATTAGTAATACATAGGTTCTGTAGAGAGAGTAAATAATCCTAACAAAGTATGAACATTCACTTTTATTCTATCAAGCCATACTGTGCAATTTTGTTTTCAGATACATTAAACGTTGAAAATGTTTCTTATTAGGGCTTTAATATTTTCCTAAAATGACACCCCTACTCACGGTACTTACCCTGGACAACTGTTCTTCAAGTTCAGCCACCCGTTCCAGGGCTGCTACTTTTGTTTCCGAGTCCTCCATGAGGGCTGCTACGTCGAACACGTTGTCGAGATAAGCAGAAATCTGTACTTGAAGCTCCTCATTCTCAGATGGACGGAGCTTCTCTAAGTAGTCATCTAATCCCAGTTGCGTGAATTCATATTGCAAATGTACTCGAAAGTTCATGTCTTCCACTGAATGAATCACTATGTTGATGAATTGCATACAGGCAACCTAAAAAACATCGGGACATCTGAGCTTAGGGTACCTGTTTTGTCTATATTTTCAACATATCAAAATCTGTTTTACTGTAAATTGTACTCATATCTATTTTCTGATTTTAAAAACAGTCCTCCTCAATGTAAATATCCAAAAAACATTCCAAAGATACTCAAGTCAGTATTACAGTATTATATCAAGAACAAAATAACAGTAAATAATATAAAAATAAGAACTGTATATTTTCATATAAGAACTGTATTTTTCAATATTAAAATTCATAAAATATTAACATTTTTCATTTGACGGCAAAACTTACACATCGCTTGAAATAAGACATTATGGTATTGTATCGCACACTAGGACATAAAAATTATGTGAAAAAATAGGGTCAAACTAAAATTTATATTCAAGAACGATTAATAAATTATTATTTCATTTAAATATATAAAAACATCTCTGAATAATTGTAATAAGACTAAGAATAACTGCATTAACTTAAACTAACCATGAGCCTAGAGCTAAAAAAAAGATTTTGTAACATTAATACAGCTCCAACACTGCCACATTTCTAATGACATGATGTTTAAGTTACTAAATAAACTAAATTTCAGGAATCAAGTAAAATTTTCAATTCTAATTGGAGTTATATAATTCCAATGTTAATATTGTAGTATCTGTAGTTAGGCTAAACAGAGAAAAGACAATTTTAATTGGAGTTATATAATTACAATGTTAATATTGTAATAACTGTAGTTAGGCTAAACAGAGAAAGGACAATTTTAATTGGAGTTATATAATTACAATGTTAACATTGTAATATCTGTAGTTAGGCTAAAAAGAGAAATGACAATATTAAGTACAAATGCAGATAAAATGTGGACTAAAAACACAAGTATGAGAAATCCAAGAAAATAATGTACGTTAATTAAACTTATAATTAAGAAAGCCAACAAACAAATCTTCCAATGAGCTACAAAGAGAGCATATTTCTACAATTTGAGGTTTTTAAACACCTCACTTTACAGGTGTTTCATATAGCATAAAATTCTTCTTGGACACTTGCATAAAATCATAACTAAATAAATACTGTCAAAAACAACAGCCTCATTTTGCTTATACAACAATAATTTTGATTTGAAACTGATCTACAATCTCAATACACTTGACATGTTTTCACTCTCTAAGATGACGTATCAGAGCATTGAAACATGATCTACAATCTCAATACACTTGACATGTTTTCACTCTCTAAGATGACGTATCAGAGCATCGAAACATGATCTACAATCTCAATACACTTGACATGTTTTCACTCTCTAAGATGACGTATCAGAGCATCGAAACATGATCTACAATCTCAATACA